TTCCAAACACCATGGCAAATAGTTATCATATTTCAAAATTTTATTCTACACAAGTGTGTGACAATACTAAAGTAACCTGATAATATTTTGTCAATAATACATGATAATATTAAGTATTTGATGATAGAGATATTGTGACCACTGAAAAGAGTGTCACATCTCAGTTTTTTGGACTTGTTTATGAATCAAGTCGGTGTATTTTTGTTGGAGTTCAGTTTGGCTTGGTTTTAAGTTTTTTATTGGTGTTGAGTGTGGAAGTGTAACATTGAGATCAAAGCCTGTCTATGTTGCTCACAGTTTTGTGCGGCAATTCATGTTACAAAAAATACTTTTCTGTAAATTATGTTTTTTTATTATGTATATGTTGATATTATCTTATTACTTTGTGCAGCTGCGTGGCTGAGTATTATAGTTTCAAATTTTGAGTTTGTTTTGTCCAGTTGGGATTTTAAATTAACTTTTTATTACAAATTATTTTTGGAAACCATTTCATATTTACATGATTGTTCGTGTGCAGTATTCTTGCCTAGTTTCCATTACATAATACAGCAAGACCATCTTAAAATTATTTTGTATAGTTGAGGGCTTTGCAAAATGTTTAAACTTCGTAATGCCTTGTATATTTTAGGTGTGGATCTTAAAATGCGTTTTAACTGATGTTCTTGATTTGAATCTTGAATTCATCATCATAAATGTCTTCAACCCTTCAAGTGACATGTTTAGACACAAAATGAGAGAAGTGTCATAGAAAATTCCTGTTTGTTTAAAAATTATGCTGCTTGCCAACTGTACCCTAAATTAATCTATGCTATTGGATGCAGCCATTGATATAATATAAATACAATAATCACAATTCAGCACTAGAGAACAATATGGACACTCAGTTTATGCAGTTACTGTGGCCTGATTATAAAAGAAGGAAGTTATTCTGCCAAGATCTTTTGTGATTCTGGCAGCTGAGGTACTGGAAACATGTTTGCGATTTAATGTTAATGTTGGAATAGAATTCACAATGTAGTGGGTGGGTACTTTGGAAAAGGTTCTTTGAGATGTGGTTTTGCGGAGATGAATGAAGGTGTGAGCTGGGTTGAAATGGCTTAGGATAGAGTCCAATAAGTCTCGCAGTTTTCACATTAGAATTTGAGTAAATGCCAGTTTCTGAAGACTGATCACCTATAAGACTGCATGGTGTTGTAATACAGAACAGTAGTCCATAAATATGTTCTGTTTAAGGAATGGAAGGCATGTTTCTCATTTCAGCCCCATCAGATGGAATTTACTCAAGGGGAGGCGAATGAGTTTACATGTAGTTTCTTTCCATAGTAGTAATTAATTTAGTTCTGAGTTAAGTGGAATATGTAACTGTAACTCTCTACATTTGCTGCATATAAAATGTCATTCTTTTCTA